ATATGTTTTCGACGCGAGTCGTACCTGAACCCCACGAACCTGTTTAAAAAATTTCGACAACGAGAAAGACATCATTAACCGATTCAAAAAAAAAATTCAAGTCAAAATCATTGAAGGAAAACGACCGGAATCGATCGATCGAAACTTTTCCGCGTACTTTTCAACTTTTGTTTTTTTTTTAATGGAAAAATTTCTAAAAATTACGCGCGTAATTTTAAATACCTCACGTCATCAAATTATTTATAAAAAAAAAAAAAAACGCGGCGTAAAAATCATAATTTCGTCAAAATCCGTTCGAATCAGCGTAGGGGGAGCAATTTTAAGGTTTTAAATTTTTTCCACGCGTAATAATTTATTACGCGCGTAAATTAATTAATTTAATTACGCGTTAAAATTTATCACGGTTCGATACGTCATCTTATTTTTTTTTTTTTCAGCAGCGCTAATATTTTCACACCCGAATGGAGAAAAAAAAACCGTATTGCACAAACACGTCATGGAAAACTGGAAAAAGAAAAAAAAAAAAAAAAAAAAAAAGAAAACTTTTTATTCCTGTCAACCTTCATGCACGTTAAAAAAGTTGTTTGTTAATTTTATTATCATTATCATTATCATTACTAAAATTCGATTTACAAATATTTATTAGAAAAATTCGTTTGTCACGGGGGGAGGGGAAGGGGGAAGGGACGGAGGAGAAACCGCGACTTTTATTTATAAACGAGGGTTAATTATGACTAAAAAAAAAAATGATTTACCGATGATGTTGGTGACCGTGAGAGAATGGCGACGGCGACGACGACGACGACGACGGTGACGATATACGCGATAATAAACATGGCGATATTTATTAAAATTCAACGAGTTTTAATTTATTTATTTGTCATTTAATTAAAGAGTGTGTGGGAGGAGGAGGAGGAGGATGCGGATTATTCAAATCATCTTTTTTTTTAAATTTACGTCACGATCTGATAAGTTTGTTTCTTCTGCCACTTTTTATGGGCGTACGAACGTACACGTCTTCGCGTCTTTCATGTAAACGTTGAAAAATATTAAGTAATAAAAATTAATCAAAAACTTATTATTATTATCATCATCATCATCATCATCATCGACATCGTCGTCGTCCTCGTCGTCATTATTATTATTATCATTCATTTTTATTAATAGTTTTTATGCGTTTTGAATGGAGAAAAAGTTTAAAAAAAGAAAAAAAAATACTAATACTAATAATAATAATAATGATAAATTTTCATCCCTCTCCGATCGCGTAGATTATCAGGATTAAGGTCAAAAGGTTAAAATGACAGTTTTTTGTTCCCTTCATAAAAAAAAAAAAAAATAGAATAAAACAGTTTCGTGGGGAATTTTTTTTTTTTTTTTTGCTATTGTGAGAGACCAGAATTAATTTTTTGATATTTTCTAGAAATTTCGGTTGAAGAAAAATTTGCAGACGTAATATCAGAGAAGAAAAAGGGAGAAGGGGGAAAAAATCATTTCCGGTCAATACGGCAGGAAAAAAAATTTTTTTCCATCAATTTCCAAACACTCAACGAAATATCACAATCCATCATCAACCACCAACTTCTTTCGTTCGAAAAACTTACGCAATAATAATAATAATAATAATAATAATAATAATAATAATAATAATCAAAAGAATGATAATAATCATCCGTGGTACGATTCAATAATCAGTTGTTGTGCCAAACAAACACACCACACAACCATGTGAGATTGACAAAAGAATAAAAATGATAATGTAAGATTTATTCGAATGCATAGACAAAAAAGAAGAAAAACAACAATAAGAGAAAAAAAAAACGAAGAAAAGAATAGAAAGAAAGAGAGAAAGAGAGAGAGGGAAAAAGAGAGAAAGAAAAAGAGAGAGAGAAAAAGAGAGAAAGAAAGAGAAAGAGAGAGACAGATGTAAAAAGGGGGAAAAAAAAAAAGGAGAACAAAAATAAATTCTCATAACGATTTCAAAGCGCCATAAACGTGACCGACCAACAGACAGACAAACAGACAGACAGACGGACAAACAAACAGACGGACAAACGAACGTACGATGAAAATGATTTATGCAGAAGATGTCACTTCATAATCATCATCTTCTGCAATTATTTGGCGCTTTCTCACCCAATTCATAACCGCGAAAAAAAAAAAAAACGCACGCATCATTCGTAATAACTTCAAATTATCATCATTTTCCACGATGATGATGATAATAATAATAATGATAATGATAATAACAACAACAAAAAATGATTAATACGAAATTTAAAAAAAAAAAATCGAGTGAAAAACTTAATAGTTTGACAAGTGAAAACGATTTGTAAATACCAAATTTTTACCGTTCGTTATAATTTTTTTTCCAACACCTAAAAAATGCAATGAATAATAATAATACTAATAATAATACTAATAATAATAATAATAATAATAATAATAATAATAATAATAATAATATTCGTGATGATGATGATGATGATGATGACGATCGCGAGAATGATAACGACGATTAATTTTAAAGTTTGATCGATTTTCAATTAACGACAGAGTTCGTCACGTCATGTGAACGCGAAACACACGCACGCACGCACACGCATGTACGTCATCGATAAGCTAAACACACGCAAAAAAATTTCTCCAAAAATTATGATTTATTACTCCGTGATTCAAACTGCGTGAATTGAAAAAAATCCGTTCGCACGCATTTAAATTAAATTTTATATTAATAATGACTTCATAACGTTCGAAAAATTTTCACCATCATTTTTTCCTATTTTTCTTTCTTTCTTTCTTTCTTTTTCTTCAACTTTTTGAAGAAAAAGGAGAAAAAGAAAAAATTTTATTCGTTTTTCTGGAAATTCGATTTATCGATCTTATCGATTTTATTTATAATTTAGAAAAAAAATTTAAACATTCTATCGCGTGTTTATTTATTTTTATTTACAAAAAGGCCTTGACTACTATCTAACCAAGTAGCGAGAGAAAGAGAGAGAGAGAGAGAGAGAGACCACTGCTTCCACGACTAAAAATGCAATCAACTACTACTACCTTGCATTTCTACCCGTAGACCACAATGCCAACATTATTTGATATTCGATAAAACATAATAATTATTATTTGTGTGTGAGTGTGTGTGTAGAAAAAAAAAGATGGAGGTATTAAATATTTTTAAAAGTAATTAATTATTAAAGAGTTTTTCTAGAATATTTGGCAGTAAAAAAAAAAATTTTTTTATTTTTTTTTGACAGAATGACAGGTACCCAATAATTGACACGAGTACTTTTGTTTAAAAAAAAAAAATTGTAATCGATTCACTTGTAAATGGATTTATAATGAAAAACAAACAAACAAACAAACACACTCCTCGCTCGGCAGACACGATCAGAGATAAAATTTTTTAAAGAAACGCGCAAATGTCACCCGTTCGAAATATGTGTGTGTGGAGCTGTCGCGTGACACATTCACGTCGTACCTGAATGTAAATAACAACGAAACTGTCACGCTCGCCTTTTTAAGTCCTTCGTAAAAAAAAAAAAAAAAAAAAAAAAATTCGCATTCATTCCATCTATCGAACTTGGATACTCTATGATTTTTTTTTTCGAGAGAGAGAGAGTCGATCATAGAATAAATAAACAACAAACCTCGTTGTAAAAAAAAAAAAAATCATTTCACGATTTGAACGATTCAATACAACTCCCACCGTTCATCGAGAGAAAGAGAGAGAGAGAGAAAAAAAACAAATACCTCGTGTCCCGTGCCCTTTCCCCTTCTCCCATTCCCACTCCCCCTCCCCGTCTAATATTGGTCATTGATGGACATTCAGGTTTTTTTTTTTTTACTAGACGTGATTATCGGATTAAGTTTCCTACGTTCTCGTTTTTACATATACTGACTGATTGACGTTTCGTTGTCAAAGCAGTCATCATAATCAAGTTAATTTTTTTTCTTCTTCTTTTTTTATTATCATTATCATTATTATCATTATTATTATTATTATTATTAATTTTTAATCGTTTGACGTGTCCTCGTCATCAACAATATTTTTAATGGCAGATCGTAAAATTCCACTTGTCACTAGAAAAACCAATTAAGTACCGCCGCCGCCCTAGAAGAATTCACCTGATGGAGGTCAATCAATTTAACCGGCTAAAAATTATTATTATTATTTTTTTTTTTTTATTGTACCTGATTTTGGTAGGTATGTAGCGTAAATATTTATTTTTGTTTTTCGTTTTTTTTTTTTCATCCGCCATTTTTTATTACCGCGACACGAATGTTTTTACTGTTCTCTTTCTCTTTTTCTTCCTTTTTTTAATGTTGGGGGGAGGGAAAACGTTAAAAAATAAGCTTTACAATGTTGGCATCACTTACATTAACGGTTATTTTGTTTATTTATTTTTTTTTAAAGCACGCGAATGATAATAATAATAATTCGGTTCAACGTGTCTGTGTGTGTGTTGGCAAAAGTTGATTTGCGTAGGTGGAAAATATACACAAAACCAGAAATCAAATTAAAAACGGATTCGGGATGATAAAAATCGGCCATTTAAAAAAAAAAAAAAAACTACAAACGCACGCACACGCATACGCACACACACATGCGCGTTCACGGTTCAGTTACACCGTCCAGTTTTTTTTTTTATTAATATCTTGATGAACGGAAAAGCCCCCCCCGATAAACTTGAAAAAAAAAAAAAAACCGAAAATAAAATTAAACGACTAAAATGTCCTTTTGTTTCGGTCACGATCGTGAGTGACACACACACACACACATACAACACGATCATAATCTCACGATGACACCGTGAATTAAAAAACTACATTGCTGATAACAACAAAAGACAAAATGAAAAGAAAGATGATAAAATGTTCGGAGGGGCAAAAAATAAGCAAAATAAAAAAATAAAAATCAACAGACAAACAAACAAACAAACGAACAAACAAAAAAAGAGGTACCACGTGTGTGACTCGGTCAAGTGGTTTACCGCGAATTAAGATGTTTGTGTCCGTTCATTCAAATGTCTCGAGTTCATTGACAGTTTTATCAACCCGTTTTCTTCTTCTTCTTTTTCTTGTTCGTCCGTAACGGAAAAACGATCGTTTTCAACGTACGACACCTTTACCATAGAGAAATTATCACGATTCGAAAGAGAGAGAAAACAAATTCCCTATGGAAAATCAAATCGTTTTTCCCTTTTTACCTCTCTCCTGATTTTCGCCACTGGAAAATCGAAAATGGAATAAAACTTTATGCTTAACATTCGTGATCATTCACGCCGCGTTTGTTGTCGTCATCGTCATCGTCATCGTCGTCATAATCGTCGGTTTTTTTTTTTTTTTCAAAAGAAAATATACCTAATTACATGTTAGTTAGTTTAAGCAAAAATTAAGTAATAAATTTGCATTTAAAACGAAGTGAAACAAAATAATAATAATAATGATAATGATATTAAATATCAAATTCGTATTAAATTTTTTTTTTTTTTAAATAAAAAAAAAAAACCGCGGTAACAATTTTTTTGCGCCGTAATTTAAAAAAAAAAAAAATTATTATACTTCCAAAAAAAAAAAAAACCGTTAAAATTTAACAATTTAATTATGAAATTAAGTTAATATTTTTTTTAAAAACATGTTTACAACTTTAAAAAAAAAATAAAAAAAAAAAAAAAAAACATTTGAATCATAATAATAACTGTATAATCGCGTTGGAAAATAATAAAAAAAAAAAAAAAGCGCGAAACAAAAAAAAAAAAATTCGAATTTGTTTCCTTTTGGAAATTTTTTCAACTTCTTCAACTTTTCCAGCTTTCGGGAAAAAAAAAAAAAATTTTAAAAGAACAAGAAGAAGAAAAATCACAAACTTTTTTTTTTCCGTTTTTGTTTTTCCCTCCTCCTCCTCTACCCCCGCACCCCATTTCGACGTGATATTTTCGAAAGGGAAACGTTAATGCCAAAAAGAAAAAAGAAAAAAAAAAACTTTTCCGGTTAAAAGTTTATAATTGACTTATAAAATTGAAAAACTTATGATTCCCTTTGAAACGCGTTTCCTTTTCCGCTTTTTTCTTTTTCTCAAAAAAAAAAAAAAAAAAAAAAAAAAAACAAAACGAATTTAACGGTTAAAAATAAAATTAAATAAAATAAATAAATAAAAATAAATAAAAAAAGTTTTCGCGTAAAGTTTTGTTTTTTTTTATTCTCTCTCTCTCTCTCTTTTCCTCTTTCTGTCTTTCTCTTTCTCTCTCTCTCTATCTATCTACCTATCTCTCTCACTCACTCTCTCTCTCTCTCCTATTCATTTCCTTATTCTTTTTTTTCACGTCGTAAAAAAAAAAATTATTTCATTTATTTCGTTTCAGAAACCAAATCGTCGCGTAATTACGTCATTCATAAGGCAAACAATTAAATATTTTCAATAATTATATAATAATAATAATAATAATGATGATAATAATAATAATAATAATAATAATAATAATAATAATGATAATAATGATAATAATGATAATGATAATGATAATTGTCGTTATTGTTTATTGTTTTTGTTTTGGTTTTTTAAACATTTAAAAAACTTTCCTCCGGCTTTAATTTTTGTTTTTTTTTTTCGTTTTCCCCTTCCTTGGCTGGAAAAACTTTTACGCGCGGGGGGGGGGCGTTGAATCGTCGCGATCATTACAATTATAGTCGTTTGCAACCCATAAAATAACCGGACGAATAAAAATTTTACAAAAAAAATTTTGTCTCGGAGCATTTGAGCGAGTCAGTACAAAATTGCTACGTTTAGACAAATAAAAAAAAAAAAAAAAAAAATTAGACGATTCGGCTTAACGCCAAATTTAATAATAAAAACTAAATTCGACAAAATAAAACTTTTCCCCCCGCCCCCCTCGTCTAAAAGTGATAAAAAAAAGAGAGAAAGAGAGAGAAAAACCGTTAACCAAACAACAAACACGTAATATAATAATAATTTAATAATTAGACAAGAAAAACTTGTATTTTTCAAAACGAGTAAGTAACATTACAATTAGAGCAGCAAAAATTTTAAATTAAAAAAAAAAAAAAAACCATAGAGGGTGTTAAAATTTTTTTTTTTCCTACTCTATGGTGGTTTATTCTCGTCACGGATCATCTGTGAGAATTTTTTTTTTTTTTTTCATTTCGCTCGTGCGGTGAAAAACAAAAAAAAATTCGGATCCAGCGGATCGTTAACCAAAAAAAAAAAAAGGGAAAACCGCGTGTGACGTCATTGTCGTCGACTCGTTGCCCTCGCACGAATTTCATCACTCCCGCGCATACGTATATAAAAAAAATTTTACGTTTTTCGAATCGGTTTCGGACGAACGTTGGGCAACGTGACGAACGACAAATAAATAAATAAATAAATAAAAGAATCTCTCTCGCAACGCAATTTATTACTTATTTAAAACTCCGGACATGTTTGTGACGCGAAATCACACACAAATGTGGGGGTGTCAAGTGGGAGGGAAATTTTATATATATATATATATATATATTATTCAGGTCGTGGAACGACGACGAAAAATATACTTTTTTTTTTTTTTTTTTTTTTTGGTATTCTCTCGGAAAAAAGAAAAAGAAAAAGAAAGAAAATGGATGGTATTCCTCCTCGTTTGGTAGGTGTTAATTGAAGGCTAATGAATGAGCGTGTAGGTGGGAAGGACGTCGTCTAGCCACTCCTTTTAAATTTTCTTTCATCGTAAAAAAAAAAAAATCTTATTTTGATACGTGTGCGTGTGTGCGTGTATGCGTGCGTGCGTGTGTAGATGTTCCCGCGTCTTATTTTTATTTTTTTTTAAATGCCTCTCACATCTAAACGTAAATCATTAAAAAATCGAAGGTCGGTCGATTTGTCTTTTTTACTTTTATTTAAAAAATAAATCTTCTTTTTTACCTCCCTCTAATCGGCCAGCTTTGGACCGTCCTGTCCAATGTGCGTAATAATAATAATAATAATTTCATTTTGATGAGTTAAATTTTTTTTTTTTTTTATTAACTGTGGGCGAATTAAATTATCTGCTATATTATTTAAAATATATATGTATATATATATATTTAAACGTCCTCGAGCGTGCATATTAATAAGGCATGCATATTTATTATTGGTTGTTTATTATCATTATTATCATTATTAACATTATATCATTAATCGTTAACCACCGGAAATTTTCTCTCAAGTTTTCTATCTTTCTTTTTTAATAAAAAAAAAAAAAAAAAATTTAATTACGAAAAAATAAAAAAACGACAAAGTGGTTTTTAGAGACATTTTTTTTTTTTTTATATATATAAATAATTTTACGCGGCGTTTTCGATTTTGTTCTAGAAAAAATTTTTTTGTGGAAATATTTGCGTAATCGCGTTTTTTTTGCGTAAAACAACGAACGCACCTCCTCCGCGAGTTTTTTTTTTTTTTTTGGAAAATTCGCACATGCGTACAAACACACGCACACACACACACACTCGCATACGTAAAAGAACCTTTTTTTTTATTATCCGTTTCGGTTAAAAGGTCAAGGTCACGCGGGCGGCAAAAACACGAATCCATTCGTGAAATCAGTTATCGACTTTTATATATACGGTTTCCTAGGTTTTTATAAGTGTTAATTAAAAAATAGGTTCGTCTTGTTTACACGTAAACGTTGTTACTTATCCGTTAATTTGTACCTGTGCGAATGCGGGAGCGACGAAGGGGAGCCCCTCCCCCCTTAAGGAAATAAGAAAAAAATTTATTAATTTTTTTTTTCGCCATTCGGACCCGCGTCTCAACATCGCGTTTCGAATTTCCCTCTCACTCTCTCTCTCTCTCTCTCTCTCTGTCTATCGGAATTAAATTAAAAATCGTCAATTGTTCCTTTTTTTTCTTTCTTTAATAATTTACAAGTTTTTTAAAAACTTTTCATAATTAGCCATTTTAAATTCTTTAACAAACATTAAAAACGTTCCCTGCGGTTTCGATATAAAAAAAAAAAAAAAAAAATTCAAAAACAAATTGTGTGGATCCGTCCGAATTTCCTTAAGCCGTAAAAATTTTTTCGATAAATAATATTCCACTTTTTTTTTTTTTTTTTAAATGGACGTTTGTCTCACTCACTGGAAAATTAGTTTCGGACCTACGCGAATGCGTCACAAACAAACGAAAAAAAAAAAAAAAAAAAAATTGGAAAATAAATTTAAAAAAATGAACCAGTTGACGGGGGGGGAATCATGGGAATGTTTTAAAAACCAAAAAAAAAAAAAAAAAAAAAAAAAAAGGCATAAATTTGACATTTTTTTTGACAAAAAAAAAAAAAAAAAAACTCGAAACTGTTTTATTATCATTATTATCATTATCATTATTAACATTATTTTATTTTCGATTTTATGTATAAATAAATAAATATATTTTTCATATTTTTTTTTTTTCGAAATGCTTCAAGCTATTTCCGACATCTTCAATGTTGTCAAACAAGTGATTTTTAAAAAAATATGCAGATTAGCGGAATTTTTTTTTTTTTTTTTTTTTAATTTTATTGCCATTGTTGCCGTACCTTAAATAATAATAATAATAATAATAATAATAATAATAATAATAATAATAATAATAATAATAATAATAAAGTCAACGGCCATACCGTGTTGGTCACACCGGTTCCCGTACGATCACCGAAGTTAAGCAGCATTGGGCGTGGTGCAAACTTGGATGGGTGACCGTTTGAGAACGCCACGTGCCGTTGGCTTAAAAAGAGCAACAAAAAAATGAGAACAAGACAAAGTAAGAACCAAAAACAAATCTTGTTCTACTGTCGACCTGAGGCAGCTCGACGAGAATGTGAATTTCACTGCTTCTGACCCTGGCCACTCCAAAGATGTTAGTCACCGGAGCCCAGTTCAGGAGACAAATCGTTCCCATCGAATAAAGATGGACTCAGGACGACCTTCAAGAATTGATGTGGTGCTATCTTATAATAAGTGGCACCACCGAAATTCGAGTAATTGTCCCTAAGGAATCGGGTAGAAACCTGGGATAAATACTTAAAAACCCCGACAAGTAGCCTTGTCGTGTTTAATGGTGGATAATAATAATAATAATAATAATAATAATAATTACACGAATTTTTTACGATCAAAATTTTTTTTACGCGCGCAATTATTTATTTAAAAAAAAAAAATCAAGAAAAATGACAATTTTAAATGATCGCATATACGACTTCCGTATAATTATTATTATTATTATTATTATTTTCGAATTCAACGGTATTTTCATCCC